TTTGGAGGCAATGATGGCGACGAAGAACAGACGGGAGGGCGTCGATTCCCTGTTACGCAGTTGAATATCCAGCGACGCATGCATCCCTCGGTAGCTAATCTAGTTCGTGAGACGCTCTATCCGAAGTTGCAAGATCACATTTCCACAACTATGTATCCTGCTGTTGCGGGAATGAAGCACCGACTATTTTGGCTTGACCATCGGAATACAGAAGATGATGGTGACCCTTCAGATCCCATGCATAGCAAGACTAATACATGGGAAGTTCACATGGTGATATCGCTCGTAAGGCATCTTCTGAGACAAGGAAAGTATGGTCCTGGCGAGATTGCTGTTCTGACACCATACGTCGGACAATTGAGAATGCTTAAGGATATTCTTGAACAGGAGATGACCCTTATAATTGGTGAGAGAGATACTGAAGGACTGGGTGAGGCGGAGGTTACAGAAATAGCCAATGAGCCTAGCGGTCGTGGTGAAAGATGGCTCCAGGGACAACGTGTCGTGAGCAAGGGTAGCTTGCTTGACGCTCTGAGACTGTCAACGGTTGACAATTTCCAGGTACGTTAGATCTGTACCGCCTTCCACTTTTCTTCACGCCACTGTGTTGCGCACCAAACTAACCATGAGTTCAATTCAGGGCGAGGAGGCAACCGTTGTTATTGTTTCCCTGGTCCGGAGCAACAGGTTCAGAAATTGCGGTTTCCTTAAGTCCCCGAACCGCATCAATGTTCTACTAAGGTAAGCATGTTCGAGAAAATAAAGTTAAGATTGGACAACCGTCGCTGATATTTCTTCCCCCCCAGTCGTGCAAAACATGGCATGTACCTCATTGGCGATGCAAACACGGCCTCAACAGCGCCGATGTGGGCGTCTGTCATCGAGCTGTTCGAAAAGAACGAGAACATTGGACCGTATATCGAGCTCGACTGCGAGCGCCATCCCCACAATGCCATGCAGGTCTCGTGTCCCGACGACTTCTCCGTCAAGTCCCCGGAGGGTGGTTGCGCGGAGACATGCGGCTTGAGACTGAACTGCGGGCATACTTGTGTGGTTAAATGCCACTCATCCAAACAGCACAAAGCAGTCAAATGCCTTCAAAAGTGCTATCGAATGAGCCGGTGCGGTCATCCATGCGCGAAGAAGTGCTACGAGCCATGTGGCCCATGTACCGCCCTTGTCTGCAACGTCATGCTATCTTGTGGACATAGGATTGACAAGGTTGAATGCTCACGCATGAACAGACTTGACACTGTGCAATGCACAGCAGAGCTTATCGTCAAATTGCCCTGGTGTGATCACAGCTTCAAGGTTCAATGTCACGAGAAGGGGAAGCCCATGAAGTGCTCCCTTCAGTGTGGACTGGAATTACCATGCGGGCATAGTTGTCAGAAACTATGCTCCTCCTGTCGAGTCCAAAGGAAGGAAGTGACTGTCCTTGATCATGGTAGATGCATTAGTGTCTGTCGCAAGGGCTTCACAAATTGCGCGCATTCCTGTGACCGTATATGTCATCCTGCAACGGCATGCTTGCCTTGCCGCCGCCCGTGTGAAGTACACTGCAAGCATAGCCGTTGTTTTAAGACGTGCAAGGAACCGTGTCCTCCGTGCGCAGAGCTATGTGATTCTGGCTGCGAACACCGCGAAGCTTGCAAGCTCCCCTGTGCCGTTCCATGTGAAAACAATCCATGCAGTCGACGTTGCGAGAAGAGATTGAAGCCGTGTGGACATCAGTGCCCGGGAATGTGTGGAGAGCCATGTCCATCTTCGCAGTTCTGTCAAATATGTGCTCCACACGAAGTCCTGCAACAGCAGGTTGACCTTCTGGAGTTCAAGACCTACAGAGAGATTGACTTGGATGCATCGCCCCTAATCTTTCTCCCGTGCAACCACTTCTATACCGTTGCTTCCCTGGATGGACTTTTAAGTATGAATGAATATTTCAATATTGATGCGTCTACAGGCGAGATTATTGGAGCTAAGCCTGCACATTGGGAGATGATGCCCGGGTCAGCGCTGAAGGGCTGCCCAGAGTGCCGTCGCCCCCTCAGAGACATCAACAGATACAGTCGTATCTTGAAAAGATTTCTGCTGGACGAGTTTACCCGCAAGTTCGTCACGTTGGCCAGTGCACAGCATGCCGAGCTCGCAGACAAGATTGTTCGCTTCGAGAAGCAAGTTGACGAGTCGCGGACCGAGTTCCTCAAGTATTGGATCCATGAGGCTGGTGGCTCGAAAAGCAACGACCAAGCCAGAGGCGCAGTACAAGCTTATCGAGGTGCAGGGATCGGCCTGGTAAAGAAGGTGAAGGAATACGTCAAGTCTGTTGCGACCGCGGAACAGCCGCTAGGCAAGTTGAACGACATGCTCGCGTCTACCATTTCACGCCAAAACGAAACTACAAGCACAAAGCCCATCGCTGATAAATCCGCCATACAAACTGGGTTCGGCCTGCGTGGGCAGGTCCTCGGGCTCAGACTCGGCTGGGTCGTACTCCGCGATTGGGATCACATTTGCAGCAACCGGAACGTGGATCACCGCATCCGTAATAACCTAGTCCAACTGACGGCCAGTCACATCAAGTCTCTGATTGAAAAGTGTCTTTCGCTGAAGCAGACCACCATGAAGGCTAGTCTTCTGCAAGAACGAGTCGAAGCTGGGATCTACTTTGCTTTGTTTTCCATGCTTTCGTTGAGCAATATGCGAGCACTCGGCAAGACTGTTGAGATGGATACCGAGAACAAGACCCGCCAGCGTGCCCAAGACGACCTTGCGTTCTGTGAGAGATTGTGCACCAGGTCGCCGAAGCTCTTGGGCTACCTGATGGAGGATATCAAAGACGCACGGAGGACTATCAATGATGGGACGTTCTATGCTTTGGTGACCAGCGAGGAGAAACGCCAGGTGTACAGAGCGATGGCGGAGCAGTTCGCGGGAACGGGGCACTGGTATTATTGCCACAACAATCACCCAGTAAGTGTCTGTCATTTCAACGCTGAAGTACAACGTCGTGCTTTTGCTTGACCACCCACCATTCCGTACTACTCACAGAATTGCTAATGTATTCATCTCATAGTTCACCATTGGCGAATGCGGCATGCCCATGGAGGAGGCCCGATGTCCCCAGTGCGAGGCCCCAGTTGGAGGGTTGAACCATCAGCTCGCTGAAGGCGCGAGACCAGCCGAGGATATGGATCGCGAATTTGGCGAGACAGAGCTCACCGAGCAGGACATCAGGGAAGGGATGATAATGGAGGAGCTGAGAGAAGAAATGGTGGCCGGTGGAGTGGAAGGAAACTTGATCGAGATGTAAATCAGACGACGAAGAATCACTCAGTACTGTTTTGGAGGAGGTGATCAGAGAACGACGGTCATGAAGGATGGGATAGTGGAACAAATTGCAAAAACGTGTGACTTATTTTGGAAGGAAGGTAGAATGAATCAACAGTGCTGAGGATTTGTCGTGCCCCTCCATCCCTCCGCCATCCTACACCCACCAACCCACCCACCTCTGAGCTGTCAAATGCCCCTCCTTTCCATGCGGCATTTTTCTTTCATCTCTGCCCCTACCCCTTCGCCTCTCCACCACCATTCTAACATCAGCATGAGCACCGGAGCATGCCAGAATTTCCCCCCCAGCGCGTACAGCGGGAAAAGAATGTGGCAGCCTTATCAGGCGAGGGATGAGCGGAGCCCAGCGGCTAAGGCGAAAAGCAAACTAAACTCGACCGAGAGTGCCTTGCATGCAGCTAGCTGCCTACAGCTGCAGCTTTGTTCCCCCCCTCCGTTCCACGTTCACTTTCCGCCTTCTGACCTCAACGGGGAAAGAGAATTCGACGATCACTCCCGAGCTTCGCTTCGGGGCTTTCCAGGTTCCGACATCCCCGGCCAGATTGGATCGATATGACACGCGCAACGGTCACGGGGATCTTATGCAGAAGAGGGAGGGGGACTGTGCTGTGCGCGAGGTGCAAGCTGCGACTGCGTGAGGATACGAGGATAGATGGGTGAGTGTCTCTTGCTACGCTGTGAGTGGTTGTGCTGTTGATGTTGAGGTAGGCTGCTCATGTTGACTAAGAACGACTCGAGGATTGACTAGATTCCAACCGGTAGACATCAGAAAGCGAGAAGATGAAGATGTTGGGATACAGGACCTGAGACTGCTAAGAGGACTCGATTGGCACTAGACTGATACGCCTTTGCTTGAGATAGACGGCGCTTGTTGCGAGTCCAATCGAACCAGACGAGCCATAACCCCGACCATCCAATTTGAACTCCTTCGTATGGCTGCCTTTCGTATGGCTGCCTTCGCCTAAACACGCCCCTCCTCTATCCACCGCCCACCATCCACACCTGATTTCCTTCTACGCGACGATCACATTTGAGCTCTTGCTCGTCGCAGACACCCAGGTCTCTCAGACCCATACATGATGCACCAGCAGCAGCAGGCCATTTGGGCATTTCGACATGCAGCATACAGCTCGACCACCTGATAACAATTACCTACCTTCTTACCCTCCAACCCCGCAGTCCACATATGCAAAGCTTAATTGTCTCCCCGTGATAGGGCTGATAGAGCTCCAAGGTACCTCCAGCTACTTTGCCTGGAAGTATACCTGCACGAGCTTCCGTTTCACTGTGGACCCAGCTGTGTTCCCACGCTTGCAGCTGCTGGATGCTTGCTGTACGCTGTATGCTCAAATGCCCAAACTGGACCCTGCCACGCAAGGAAGCAAGCAGCACTGCACATGTAGTGGACCTTTGACACCTCACCTCCACCCTAAGGCAACTGAATATCGAGGGTTTTGGAGGGGTTGGAGTGGGATGTATTCAACCCACTCTCTATATCGATGCCGTGGACGAGACCAGAAGAATAGGGATATAAACCCCCCGAGCACCCAGCTCGATCAACTCTTCCATCCCAAGCCATCCAGCCAACGGAGCATCGAACAGTCTTCTTCAATCCAAAGGATCCTCAAGTCGGAACAGCATCATTCAAAATGGTCCAGGACGCTAAGGTGAACAGCCCTTCCTCATTTCCAGATACCACAAGAAAAGACAAGCTGACAACGACGGTGAAATAGAACCTCTACTACTCCCTGGACTGGTTCCAGCAGATGAAGAAACAGTACGACGAAGCGGTAGGTTTCTACAATACCCGGTGCTGCACGGACTCTCGACGCTGACTATGTGCCTGCTTCGCCCAGTCCTCCGACCGCTGCTGTGAGTCTTGAACCCACCCACTTTATCCGTCCTTTGGGCATGCGAAAGAGAAATGGGGTTGGCTAACCACAACTCCAGTGGGCATGTCCTTCGACGAGGCCGCCCGCCACATCTCCAAGGATGGTCTCTCCATGACCGCCGATGAGGCCAAGGAGTTCGACGAGAACCACGACGGCAGCATCAACTTTGAGGGTGAGTGCTTCTCTTCCTTGTTTCAGTAAAATTCCTTTCAACTAGGTACAGAGCTAACAGCTGATGGATACAAAGAGTACCTGACCATGCGCTTCAAGTACGATGCACTCCGCGAGGGCAACATGCGCGGCCGTCTCCTCGCATAAGCGTACAGACATTGAAACGCAAATGCACATACCACGCTGGAAGGGTGGAAGATCAAGACTCTATTCCCTTATATACATAAATCAAGACCCCAGCGGCATGATAATGACATGACAATGAATCAACTCCGATACTCACTGCTTCCTTAGCGTAGAACAGAATTGAGTAGGTATAGAACCTATTAGCATCCCCTCACCCCACCCAGCACAGACAATAATCGCCAAAGAACCCTTCAAACCGCAAAAGAGGGAACCCTCTAGCCCACATGATAAACGTATAGAGTCCAGCCCCCCTAAGCAGGAATCCTCAACACCGCCCTGCCCTCCACCGCAAACCGCTCCAACAACCCCGCCACCTGATTAATCTCCTCCAGCTCAAACACCGTCACATGGGTGACCACCTTGCCCGCGACCGCCATCCGCAGCAGCGCCTGCATCTCATCCTCGGTGCCGACGGCGCTGCCCACGATCCGGTACCCGCGGTCCACGCACATCAGCGGCGAGATGGGGAGGTGGTAGTCCGGCCGGGGCAGGCCCACGCAGACGAGGGTGCCGACGGGCCGGAGGAACTCCACGCTCTGCTCGTAGGCCTTCTCCAGGCCGACGACCACGATCACGGCGTGGGCGCCGATGCCGTCGGTCAGGGATTGGATGTGGGTTGTGGGCTGCAGTGCGGGTTCTTAGTTTTCATGACGACAAGATCTGGTAGATGGTGGGCTCTTAAGAACTCATACGTCGTCGCTAAAGTCCACAAATGCCTCCGCGCCGGATCGCATGCAGATGTCTCGTTTGGACTCGCTGTAAGCTCGTCAGCCGGGAATTCTTGGTTTGGCTGGCGGTCAGAGGGACTTGCCTATCCACGGCAATGATCCTGTAGCCCATTTCCTTGCCGATTTGGATTCCTCTATCCGCCGGGAGCATTTAGTACGCCGTGTATACTGGATTGGAAGAGAGGGGAGAGGGTAGGGAAAGATACAGATGACCCAGTCCCCCGCCGGCACCCATGATCACCACCCAATCGCCCTTGTCGCAGTACATGTCTAGCTTGTTCAATGCGCCGTACATGGTGAGGCCAGCTTGGGATAGACTCATTAGATATGAAGCAAGCATATAGTGGAGGGAGGGGAAAGCTATACCACACAGCAACGGGGCAACAGTTTCCGGCTTCAGGCTCTCCGGAATCGGAGACACGAAGTCGGCGGGTGAGACGACGTACTCTATAAGAACCGTGGATCAGCCATTCACCCAAAAGTCCCTAACAAAAAAGAATCCACTCACGCTGAAACGTCCCCGGCACACTCTGGATTATGGATAAGTCAGCCTCTTCGGAACTTCACCACGAAAAGAGAAAGCGATATATCATGAACACACACCCGCCCCGAATTCCTCTGATTCGGACAATTGGTATACTGGACCTTGCACGTCGGACAGTCGTTGCAACTACTCCATAGCCACCTATGAAACAAGAAGAAGCGTCAGCCATAAATACCAACTGGAAGCAATCTTACCCCACCCTTCCACAACAGGAAACCGAAAGCAAAGCCGAAGAGACGAAGGGAACAGACTTGACACCGACTCGCTTACCCAGCATATCACTCGGGGCATTCGGACCGACTAGCATCATTCAGATGCACACAAGACACAATCAGCCAACCACCTCCCACTCTCGCACGCAATACAACAGCACCAGAAAAGTCACAAAGGAGAGGACCCACGCTTAACCACCCTTCCGACCCCCTCATGCCCAACCACATTCACACTCAACGGCAATTCCCCATAAATGCAATGCAGATCCGAGTGACTACCAACCATGTAATCAGTCCCAGTGCCCGGTCCCGGGGCAAGAAAGACCGGGAAAAAAGGCGAACGCACCAGAAACCAGTACACTCCAGCTTGACCAGCACCTCGCCGTCAGCCGGCTCGGGGACCGGGATATCATGCCGCAGTTCTAGCTGCGCGTGCGGGCGCGGATTCGCGATCCAGGCGGCAGTCTGGACTTGTGGGATGGGGGGCATTTTCTTTTTGTTGTTGTTGGGGACGGAAGGAGATGCTTTCAGAGGGTTGTGCATATGTATAGGTGAGTGTAGAGCAAGGAGAAGGGAACTGAACGTGGAAGTTATCTTTGATCGCAGCTTCGGTTTGGTTTTGGCGGGGGGCAACGGACGGATCGAACTCGGCAATCGCGATCCCGATGTTCAGTGCCGATGGCGGAGATACGGGTTTGTCGATCATGGCGGACGTGGGGGGAAGAGGTGGGGTATAGCCGGTGAGGAAGTGGGGGGGGGGGGGGGGGGGTTCTTCAGGATCGATCGATCAGTTCCATTCTCTGAGGCGGGAGTAAAGGAGATTCGATATTTGATAATTCTGCAGCAGCATAGTATGCGTTCGAAGCTGAATTGGGTTGGAAATATTCCATGGGAAAGGTAAGCTGGATAAGAAGTTGATTACTAGGCAGCTATCGCCCTCCCCCAAGTCAATCAGCTACGTAGAAGCAGGCGCCACAGATACGACACTTGATATCTGCTTTGAATCATATTTCAATATATTATGACCTTCGATTCTGAGACATACATAGTAGCACGGATATTTATAGTGCCTGCATAAGCACTAACTACCAGTCGATGAGCTTACACTTGACTCCCTACTCCCGTACTCCTCCGTGCACTCTCGGGGGGCAAAGCTATATCAATAATCCTTATAGCTCCTCGCCCAGCAGCGCATATATAACAAGCCCCTACGCTACCTACCACCCTCAATTCCAAATTCTCATTCAACCTCCAGCCTGACAGAACCTGCACCAAATTGAGCGCCATCACACAAACCCGAAACCATGAAACCCAGCACCACCATCCTCCCACTATCCTCCCTCCTCCTGCTACCGATCCCCGTACCTCTGACCCTCGCAGCCACCTTCGTTGAACTTGTACCAGCCCCTGACCCCATTCCTCCAACCTCAAGGTCAGTCTCTAACAGCGAATCTCCCAAAGGAAGTTAGCTTCTACGGCTCCACCCTGGGGATCCCCGACTCCACCGCCTCCGTGCAAGTCCCCATCGGCAACCGCTCCGTGGTGCCGGCCACCTGTACGGATCTCCCTCTGACGTAGGTTCTTCTCCCTCCTTGAATTCTCTACTCAGGGAGGAACCTGGCTAATGTGCTGCAAGGGCGTACAACGCGACGTTGTTGCCGCAGGACCCTCCGGTTGAAGTCGAGTGTTATCTTCTTGGGTACGTTATTTGCCTTGGTCTGCTGTGCTGCGCTCGTCACTGGGTGACGGGTGAGCTATGAGATGGGTGTTGGCCTCGGGGATATTGGCTGACAAAGGTGCATGAACTAGACTGCCCTGTCGGGATGTCGTGGGGACGATTTCGACGGAAGATACATTTATCAAGCTGCTGAATCCGGCGAGGGCGGTGCAGTGCTATCCCGAGTGAGTGCTAAGTCATTGGAAGGGAGGTGTAGTTGGGAATTGGAAGGGATCATAAAGGGTCCATCCAGCCTACTGGGAATTGATCACATGCTTGTCGATATCATTTAGCTGCAATTGAATGAGCACGTAGACATAACCAATCTGTATAGGCAAAGCTCTAACTCCCACTTTTAAACCTGTCAATCTGTGCGGAGTAAGCAAGCAACAATCTATCTGAGCCCCAACAAGTCAAAAGTCCAAACCTGAGCCCATCCAACTCCTTTTTGTATACTCACAACCACCTAGTTGGATTGATTCACTTTCGATGCAAAGAAGTCAGATGCGTCTTTCGCATACACAGAATACGTGTAATGAGGCGGCAACAAAAGCAAGATGTCGTCGCACACCACATCGCCCGGTGCGCAGTACACTTTGGTTCGGTCCTGCGGGTAGCCCGGGACGCCCCCGCGGTCCTGGATGTTTCGCGAAAACCCAAACAACGCCACCGCCTGGATCCTGTTGCGGACCTCGTGCTTGACTTCTTGAATGGCATAGTCGATGACGGCACTGCCTTGACTATTGATCATCTTGGGTCAGCTGGTGGCTTGTGTAAAGAGTGGGAAGATCAGGAAGGTGAGCCCCCAAGCTTAGGGAAAACAAAGAATGTCGAGAGAGTAAGCCATACCTATATCCAGCAGCCACGACCTGGGTCTTCGGACACTTGGTTGTCGCCAGCTCGAGCATAGTGGCCGCGGACGCGATGGACTTCGCATCCGTGTTCGGGGTGAGGAAGTTTTGAGGTATGTCAGCGCTGTACATGCCGTCGACACCCTGGCAGGCCACTCGATTAGGGCTGATCTGCTCTTTTAGAGTGGCACAAAGGGGCGGTCCAATGACTGCACCCTATATTGGTGTTAAATCAAGAGGACGGCGTGCCGATAGGGGCGGTAGCTAAGAGACTTGAAGAGAAACTGGCTCACCATGTTGCCTGCTTCCCATGTTCCCCGGACAAAGATCAACGTGAAGTCCTTGCAAGATCCACCCATGATATCGTTCGCATTTATCCCGGTTTGACGAGTCTGGAGGTGATCGGCCTCTGAAATAGGCAGAGGATTCGCTACAGCCAGCGTAGCATAGGCAGCGACAAGTAGCCATTTGAAACGGGCCATTCTGTCGCGACGGTAAGAGATAGAGTCCAGCATGAATTAATAAACTGAAAGTGATGGACTGTCCATTATTCCGTCAGCATAAGATTCAGCTCGATTATATATTCCCTCTATTATTGATAACACGGTAGCCTGGCCGACAATCAGCGGTGATCCGTCCATCCCAGACCCGGTGACAAGGTCGCTTTCGTCTGTGGCGACCACTTAAGGACATCGCCGATTCGAAGATGACCTGGACCGTAAGGAATCAGGTTCAGTTTCAGGGGCGGATGTGGAAAATTGGGGGACTTGTGTGCCCCGAGGCAAGGAAATCAAGGTAAATAAACTCCGGGGAGAGCTTACTCGAGCACCGATCCAAAGGACAACATGAAATATTCCGGGGCTCAGGATTGAATGCGGAAACAGCCGACCGACTGTCGGACCCCAAGGAAAAACCGCGTGTATTGAGTATATTCCATGGTCAACTTGGGTCGTTCTTGTGGTCAATGGTAAAGGATAAAGAAATCTCCCACGGTCTGACTGTTGTCAAGATCCTGTTTTTGACACATGGGTAGAGTTTTTGCTGACGCGGTTAGATTTTTCTGCTTCAAGAAAGCCCCTGGGATCGCTGTTCCATATACGTAGACAGAGACCTTGATGAATATCAATTGATCTCTGCTGTCTTTCTGGTACCTTCTCAATGAATTATGGCAATGATGACGGTAAGCAGTTGAAGTAGACCTGTAGATTCAGGTATTATCACAGGAATGTTGTCGCCTTCGGTGCTGAGCTTTGGCCAGAGAAGAGTACCTAGACACGTTAGCTGGATCTTGCTCTCGCTAACCCTTGTCTAAAAGACCCTCCATGCTTCCAGTACCACGAGACCCCTATGGTACCAAAAAGGACACTCTACAAGCACGGAGGGACAGAGCTTTCGCTCGTACAGGCAAAAGAAAAGACAAGCACATGCGCAAAATTGGCATGGAGATCAGTCGATCACATGCTCTGCGAAGAAGAAAATTATGTTTCGCTTTGTACGTACAACATCACTGCCATTCGTTATGTGTGTATCAACGTGTCATGTACTTTACCCAATCCTCGTCCTGCTCGGATTGACTCTCACGAGCTTCTCAAGCGTCCATACAGCGTGTCAATAAAGGTCTCTCCCCATTTCGCACTATTCCAACCATCGATCAGTAAACGTCATGACCCACGAACCAGAGCCAGAAACACTCACCTAGTGTTCGTCTCAATAAACTTTCGCAAAGTCTCGTAGTTCTTCTCTCGGTCCTCATCGCCCATGGTCACAGCCTTGTAAAGGACATCGACCATTTCCGCCATATTGGCCGGGTGGAAGGTCAGACAGCCCTCTTTCATGAACGACGCCGCTCCCGCAAACTCGGACAGGACCAGCACACCGTGCCGTTGCGCCTGGCACGCCACGTATTCGAACGAAACCAAGTTCATACCATCGCGCGTAGAGGTGAGCAGACACGCGTCCGCAACAGAGTACAATGCCGTCAGCTCGCTGAAGTTGACCGATCGGTGCATGTAGATCAGTGGACATCCGTCGGCCGTTGCTGCAGGAAAGAGACGGTTAGCTGAGGCCCCCAGACATTCTTGAAGCAGTTCAAGACGAGAAAGACTCACAGTGCTTTCCATTGATCCTTCCCGCAATGGTGCTGATCTCCGTCTCCAGATCCTGATACTCCTTGACATCTTCGCGACTCGGCACGGCCACTTGAATCAACACCACCTTGTTGCTGAGCTCCGGATGCTGGTCCAGGAACGTGTCATATGCCTTCAGCTTCTGCGTAAGCCCCTTGATGTGGTCCAACCGATCCACCCCGATAATGATCTTCATGCCCTTGTACCGCTCCTGCAGCTCCTTGATGCGTTTCTGCACATCTTCATTCGCTTGCGAGTCCGCGAACTTCTGCGGATCGATCCCGACGATGAATTTCTCCACCACAACCTTCCGACCCCTGTACTCGATCTGTCCGGGGGTATCGGTTTTCGCGCCCCTGTCACACCATAAACAGTGTCAGCAGTAGCTCAAGGTGTAAAGAAGCAGAAAAGGAAACGTACAGTGCCTCGGCAGAATGAACCATGTTCTGCTTGTACTCCTCCGTATGGAACCCGATCACATCACTGGCAAGCATCCCATCCAGCAGATCCTTCTGCACCGGCAGGCTTCTCCACCAATCACCTGCCGGGAAGGGAGTGTGCAGGGAGAACCCGATCGCGCAGTTCTTGTCCTTCAGCCGGTCGCGCAGCAGCCGAGGTAGAAGCATGAGATGATAGTCGTGGACCCAGATCAGTGTACCTGGCAGGGCCTTCTCGGCGATCGTGTCGGCGAAGATCTCGTTGACGCGTTTGTACGACTCCCAGGGGCCTTCTTCGAAGGAGACACCGGATTGGTAGTGTAGACTAGGCCAGAGGATTGAGTCTGTAGGACGGGTTAGCTTGACTTTGGGTTCAAATAGGAAAGAGACACAGGAGTAAAAAGTGCTGCCTACTGGAGAAGTTGTTGTAGTGATCGTGCGCCAACTCATTGTCTAGAAAGATCGGAATCGCGTTGTGTTCGTCCAAGCTCTTGCGAAGCGACTCCCGGTCCTTCTCTTCGGCGACGTCGAGGCCTGGCCAGCCGAACCAGCTGAATTGGGTGGTTTTAGTGAGACCCGACAGCGAGGTGACCAGGCCGCCGCCCGACAGGGAGGATTGGTAGGAGCCGTCATCAGCCTTCTTGACCGATAGGGGGAGACGGTTGGAGACGACGAAGAGGTTTTGCTTGGTGCTTTCTCTGCGCGCCATGATGGACACACGACTGGGTGGATTGAGATAGTTGAGATCTCGTAGAGGTGTGCTATGTGATACTGTTGTTCTCGGCAAACCGATCTGAAAGGTGGTGAAACGATGTCAAAAGTAGATAGGAAAGTAGATAAGGCTGATATAGTTTGATGCACAGATGTAGTATGCAATACGTCAGGATGAAGGCACGGAGCCACGGACTTCGACCCTCAATTATCCTTGCGGGCTGCCATCAGCTTATGTCTCGGCAACATCCCTGGGAGCTGTACCCATCCAATCACTACTTGAAATTGGATCAAATGTCACGGCGATCTCCCGAGTGTGAACGAAAGCTGGATGCTGGGTGGTTGATGCAAGTGCTCATACCAATTCACTTCACCGGCGAAGCTGCTGGTGGCTTGAACGTTGACGTCATACAGCTGTCATCAGGTACTAAGTATGTGTGCAACATCCCAGTCAATGACCACAACCTGAGCATTCATTCACCACTTTCTGAAGATACAAATTATATTTGGATCATGGTTCAAACACAAATCGGATATGTACACAATAGCCTTATCCAAACTCCAGGCCCAGCCGGGACACATGCACTGAACACCTGACCATATTGTTTTCCTATCGATAACAACTTTAAAACTCCGTTGCCACCGGCAGATGCAATTAAGAAATAAACCAAAGATACAACCACACAAGACCACCATGCAGAAATAGAGGGTGATAGGCTAATAAATAGCTCACAGCAATCGCTTGACTGGACTTGGGGTGCGTAGGCGGGAATCCCGGCTACGGCCCCGTTCGGTCGCAAATCCCTTTCCTTGCGGTTGTTCCAGAAGCAGGGGTGCATCTTGTTTTTCAAATCCGGAGACTGACCCCTGACCCTGAGGGCCCATGTACCCGTAACCTGGGTCATGCTGGTAGGAGTACTGCGATTGAGCGATCGGCGGATGATGCTGACCGGAGGCCTGTCTTGTGAAAGCTGGGGCGGGATGAGAGTAATCATGTTGGTTGTAGCGGTTGCGGAAGGATCGGAAGGACCAGTTGCTGACGACGGTGACGGTCGAAATAGTAGCTAGAAAGAACAACTGAGATGAGGTTAGCTGTGTAGCCAAGCAAGGGTGTAGGTGGATCCATACAATCGCTTTCCAACTGATCGGATCAATGAAGCTGTTGATGATCACTGCCATCGTATGCGCCGATACTTTGGCACGGCCAACCTTGGCCGGGTCCCGATTCATGCATCGTTCCCAGTTCTCACACACGGTCTCCAGCGCTGGAAGACGATCGCCGCCGGCGCATCGATTGTCAACATAGCTCTTCGCACATGCCGCCATCTCCGCCAGAATAGTATCCGACACCTCCTCCGCCGCCTGATCAAATTCAGCGCGGATAGCAGAAACGAAGCCAAAAACCACGTAGACGGCAAGCGAGAACAACGAAAGGTTCACCACCAACTGCGCCCACCACGAGAGAATGCTCGGGATATTCGGGTGCGCTTCCAGCAGGGCGAAGAAATCCGAAAACGAGGCCAAACGCGATCCAGATTGGCCTTCAGGCTGTGTTTGATCCTGCCGTGTCTTTGTACTCTTCAGGGGTCCTGCGTCCGGATTGTCACTCTCATCATCACTATCCTCCTTCCTCAGCTGTACATCTAGCGCCTTATCCCTGCGACGTCTCTTCTGAACACGTCGCGCCAGTGCGTTCGAGTAGTGGCTCACGCGAGGGATTTCTCCGCGGCCGGGGCTAGGTGCAAACCGACCGTACATGCTGTACAACGAGTTGCGGTGTCCTGACTTCGTAGGTTGATCGGGGGTGTCTTCGTTGTCGGCATGCTCGGGGGAGGACATGTTTTCGGCGCCGGATGAGAAGTCGACATCGAATTTGCGAGGGGTCATGAAAGCTGCGTGGCTGAAGGCGGGCTTAGGGGTGCCCGGTGGCTGCTGGGTTCTAGGTTGAGAAAAGAGGTAGGGTTGCGAATTCGGCTCTCGGAGGGCAGGTAGGGACTTCTTTCCAGGGGAATCGAAAATACTGTGAGGGCCTACTGGCATAGTTAGCTTTTAGCAAGCTTTCTCCGTGCAAGTAACATGAACGATCACAGTTGATAGACGCACGTTTCCTCTGGTTGTCATGCTTCATGCCGACCTGGTAAAAGGGCGACGTCACATCTCCGGGGGGTTTGGACTGCCACTCGAAGTCCATCGGACTTTCCGCCGTTCGCGGCTCCATCTTGTCGGAGAGAGAAAGTGAGAATCAGTATCAAGAAAGAGGAAGGCAGGTGGTGGTGAGAATATAAGTTTGGGTTGTCTGAGGACGGTGAAGGGGGTGAGAGGGTCGGAGGGCGGCCAGATGCAGATGGACTTTTTTCCGATTCCTGGTTCCTTTTTTTGTTTTGGTAAACAATCCAGACTCTCCGCCGAGCAACGCTTGGTGGCGACTACCCGCCTTAGACCCCGACAATGGGGAATCGTGTTTCTCTTTCTGATAAGTCTAGATAATCACATGGATGTCAACTTGACAAATGTGCTTCGTGGTTGACAAGCTGCTGCACACGAAGGGATTGTAGGGCAAATTTCGACGTCGTGGTGATTGCATATGCACGTCTGCAGGAGCGCGGTCGGGTGGGCTTGAGCTACTGACTGCCATCACCTTACATTTCTTCTACTATGGTCTCGATCCGTTGCTAGTCAAGGTATTATCTCATTACTTATCTATAATGCTATGTATGTCAATCAAGTTAGACAACTGTATTGCAGGCGATCATAGCGACAATGCGGGAAGCCTCCACTTACTCGCCTCCAGCCCCTGCAATGGGTGGGTTAATCGCGACCGCGCTGCAACTAAACCTTCCCCGCACTCCGTTCTACACTCTATACATCCATCTAATTCGAGCCATCAAGACAATCAAAAATATATACGTGCTCTAATGTACTGTCTAAAGCCAGACTAAACTAATAAGCTAGGACCGAGCCTGATGATAATAAAAATGTGCTGATTAAAAACAAAAAAAAAAAAAAAACCTCAGGCTTGCCCCAGCACGCCCATCAAGAGGAGTGAATCCCAAGCACGGAGACATGATGCATGAATGATGATGATACAATCAATCGAAATTTCAGCGCAAAAAGAATACACCTGAGTTGTTGATTCCCAACTCCAATCCGAAAAGATCATGACGCTAGAAAAACAGTAAGAGAGTGTAAGACCAGGACTCAAGGATGGACGTGGTCCACCAGTTCGAAGTCATCATCATCCGCCAGATAACCGATAGCGGTCTCGCTCTCGCGAGAGATTATCTCATACGTCTTGATAATCTTCTCTGTCTCCTTGATCTCAAACTTCTCAACCGCCTTGCTCACAGCGTCTGAGAGTATAGTCTGCCCCGAAACGTCATAGTCGTGCAGGGAGCCATCCTTGTCCTCGAGCTCCTCTTGGATTCGAGTGACTGATCCCGGGGCGGCGACATCATCACCGGAAGAGTCGGACGGACCACTCTCGAGGGCCTCCCGGACATCGGCGCGAAGGGCTATCTTCGCATCGCTGGCCAGATGGTTGGACTCTCTCTCGCGATCGAACCGCAGGGCACGTGTGAAGCTATCCCACCTCGGTCAGATTTGCAATAGACTAGGCAACCACGGGAGCTTGGGGCCTTACTTCATGCTATGGGTGATCGGCATCGCTGGGCGAGTGGAAGGAAGGGCGGACGAGAGGGGGTCAGGAACAGTACGAGCACGTCGACTACCGTAAGCCCATTTCGCCTTGTGGTCGTGAGCCCGCTTCGCCTCCTTATCCGCCCGACGCATATCGAGCAGGGATTCGGACATGACGGTCAACGGAATTACACGCTGTCTGTCAAGCGATGTGGTATGATGAACGAGCTGTGGCTGGGTCTGAGGAGACGTGTAGTACACACTTCGGAGAAGGAATGAGTGGTGGTTGCCTGGACGAGCTCCAAGTGATGGGGGTTGAGGAGTGAAGGGATATAAAGCCAGGGAAACAAGGCTGGCTGGCGTAAGGCGCGCGAGAAGGAAGGATCCTGAGTCTGAGTAATGAACCACGAACCAAAGAAGTCCGATAAACAATGACCGTGGCTACAAGGCGTTCTTGGTCTGAGTCATAAAGAACCCCGGCTGGTTCCCAGTCATCAGCGATCCGGATATTGGTCAAGGCGGCAAATGGCGCAATCCAAGGGGGACAAACCTCACTGCAAGTGAGATGGAGGCGAAAGGAAAGTAGAGAAGGAAGTGACAACCTTGTGAAAAGGGGATGGGCTAGTAGTCATTCCCTGAAATGAGGGATGGGGGATGGAGGAGGGTTATGCTCTCAATAGCCTCCTGAAGGGTTACTACTATCGGTACCTTCGTAGTTAGTTCGTCGCAATAAGTCAGATACGAAAATGGTAGCACGGGGTACAGGACAAAGATGGGGAGCTGATGGCCGGATGATAGGTCATCTGTTGGATATCATTCATTCTTTCTCTTTCTATTTATGAACAAGCACTTGGCAGCCTGCTTATTGACCATCTTCCCAAAGGGTTAAGGGTTTTTACTTTTTGGAGGCAAGACAAGATCGTTATCGGGAAGACCATGGGGGATAAAGTGAGCGAGGATGAGTGGCCAGCCTCTCCTGGATTGTTCGTTATCGCAGGTTGCCGATCCCCCGAGCGCCACTGCCCCAACCATGGTTTATCTTCCCCTCCATTGTTCCTTATCCCGAGGTTAAAGGAACTATTGAGATTTTTGAGACGTTTGGAACCAAAGATGGGTCGTCAATCCGATCCACTAAATCCAGGCACGTTGGCTTATCTGGATGTTTACTTGCTGAGGCATGGCATGATGATGATTGTCGCTTGTTGTTCTCCACGCAAGGATTCACAGTATAGGTACAGTATGTACAGTAGTATATGCCAGTCCAGGCTTTGCGGTGGACGAATGAGAGAAATCACCGTGCTCACGGGGAATGACTGAAACCCAGGTGATGACGCTTGTCAGCCACAGTTCTGGTGAACGTGATCCCATCAAGCGCATCAAGCAAGTCATCAGCTGCACGTCTTCCCTGTCGCTGATCGGAATTCCGTTAGCGCGGCCGGTGACTCGATGGCTGATCGTCAAGTTGATGGCTGGGGAAGGAGTAAGAAAGAGGAGTGGGAGGCTTGGAGTTCATGGCGGTGCCGGCACAGCCATGACATCAGCGAGTATGTCAAGTCAACTGGCGGGTTTGCAATTCCTCCACTCGCCGCCAACCTGCGACGGAGATACTTTCCATCGAACCGAACTGGATGTGATTTTAACTCATATACTCATATACTCATAACTGCGAAGCGCCAGGAATATGCACGGAAACTCTTCCCAAATCACGTCGGGGTCCAAATCCGGTAATTATCAATGTCATCATGGCCAGTGTCCAGCACTGGATCCGTGTAACAGAAGTCATAGCAGAGTCATAGGTATCTAAACCACACACGCAATACACACCACTCTCCAAAAAAGCAGTTACTCATCCATCTGCCATTCGTAATCCAACGCCTCCAACCTCCCCTTCCGATTCCTAGCCGCAAACCACTCCTTCTCGAACCCGTTACTCCGATCCACACCATCCCACCGATGGCCCGGCCGGATCCCATAGCGATTCGGCTGGAACGCCCCCTTATACAAGGGCTTGCCCGTCACACTGGTACCGGGCCCGCCGGTCTTGGTCAAGAACTGCGCGGCGGGGTCATTCCAGCGCTGGCGCGCCTTGAGCTCGTCGTTCAGCTCGTCGTCCTCGGCGGTGCGCGCCAGCGGCATCGCCTTGGCCTCCTGTAGCTGCTGCCGCCTCTCCTCCCGCTGCTGCCGCTGCACATCGCCCATGAGCGCCTCGCGCGCCTCTTCCTCCTTGAGCTTCTTCTCCTCCTCTGCCCGACGCGCCTCCGCCCGCTTCAGCGCCACGTTGATGATCCGCCCCGAGGCATCACGGTAGATCGTCTCCTGCGCCTGCTCCCCAGCGGCCGCGGCGCTGCCCTTATACCGGGCCGCCTCCAGCTTCTTCCTCCGCTCCTGCGCCGCCACCATGGCCGCTGTATCCGCCGCCGTCTGCAGTCCCGCTCGCGCGCCGGACTCCATCCTTATCCCGTCGTAATCGTCTTCATCCTCATCTGCAACAACCGGCGCCTCATCCTCGTCATCCCCATCATCCCCCCCGCGCCCGGCCTTCCGTTCCGCCGCCGCAGACGCCAATATGGCATCCGCCGCATCCCTCTCCGCATCCGCATCCGCGCTGCCAATCGTCTTCCACCCGGATTTCTTCACCCGCCGGAACTCCCCGCCGGCGGCCCCGCTGCGTGCGCCCGACACGATCGCCGGGTTATATTCGTCATCATCTACATCCCGGGCGCCGGAGGCGGCGCGGAGATCCGGCGGATCGTCATCGGCGATGATGAGGCCGGATTCTTCGGGTTTGGTGGTCTTCTTGCGTTTCTTCTTGGGGCGGTCGGCCGGGGCCGGGTCGGCGGTCAGGTAGTTTTTGGCGAGGTAGTCTGCTAGCGAGGAGGAGGGCATTGTAGTGTGTTTTATTTTGCGGAAGGTAGGTCTCAAAAACGAAGGTCGATTGTAGAAACAAGTAGTGGATGTGTATAGACGTGATCAAGGAGAGAAGGTAGAGCAAGGTAGTGTTTAGAAACTCAAAAGAGCAGTGTAAAGCACCGAGTAAACTCGGGAAAGCTGCCCAGCCCTGGCAGTCTAAACTGGCAGCTCGGAGGATGAGTTCTGCCGGTAATCTATTGCGCCTCCGTAAAATACAATACCATACTTCTCACCCTCCTCCACCCATCCATAACTTACAATGCATCTAGATCTATCAATGCAGCCGTCAGTCATAATCAATCCGCAAACTCCCTCCCACCATAGACCTCAAACACCTCCAGCCATCGCCATCCTCACACCATATACACATACACCCACACAAGAAAAGAGATGCCCCGCTCCGACGAAGCCGAATGGTGGATCAACGCCGTCTACGAAGCGATCCAAGAAATCCCCCGCGGCCGAGTCACCTCCTACGGCCATATCGCCTGCCTCCTGGGATATCGTACGTATTACTGCACATGCAGTGCTAGCTGCCTTTCTAGCCCCCCTCATATCCTTAACAAGCCTTTTTCCTTCGCTCCCCCAGGGCTGTAGATCACCCAACTAACTCCAGTAATGCAAATCAGCCAAACGCCCCCGCCAAGTCGGCGTAAGCCTCAAACATCTGCCCTCTGCGCCGTCGAATCCCGAGCCAGAGACAGTTGTAGAGGCAGAGGCAGATGGCGAAAAAGAACCCGCCGCAACCCCATTCTTTCACTCCGGGAACGTCCCGTGGCAGCGCGTGATTAATTCCAAGGGGATGATTTCGCATCGGTATGTCTTCCCTTCAATCACACTTTGTCTCTGGGCTTAAGGTGGGTTCTCGAAGCGACGTGTTTTTCTTGCTGATTTTGTTTGGCGCGGACAGAGGACCAGGAAGTGCAGAGCGGCAGGCTGAAGTGCTGCGAGCGGAGGGCGTGGAGGTGGAGGTGGATAGTATGGGGGAGTACTACGTGGATTTTGGGCGGTTTGGGTGGTTTCCGGATGTGTTGCCGAGTGAGGAAGGGTTGGAGTCGGATGGAGGAGATGGGGAGGGCGAGGGGGAGGGGGAGGGGGAGGGGGAGGGGGAGGGACGTAGTGATGGTGATCTGAATAGAAATGGAAATGAGTTGTTTGTCTGATGTTCTTTTGCTGCTACTCCTACTGCCTTCGGGATATAGATGTACTGTAGGTCTGTCTCAGATAGAGCAATATCTCGTAAGAGTATGGCAATCAGTCCTAGTAGCAACGAAGTCGTCGGTCAAATAGACTTTCATAGTGTGAGAGCAGGATGGACTTCTATGAGGGTAGAATATTTGAAGCGAAGAAAATAAAGTGTAAAGAGGGTCTGTGGAGGGGACCGGCACAGTAGACGACCATGCAATCAATCATGTGTAGGGCAATCATAAACATCCAGTCAAACGGGCCAGTAAGGAACCAAAAAATATAGAATATAAAAGATCCGCCTCTCGAAATCATACCAAAGGAAACTCGTCGCCGGACTCCGCGATGCACACAGATATCACGGGTCCTCTCTCATTCCTAACTTGCTTTTCGTGGGTCTTTTCCGCTTGCCTTTATCTCCGTTTGATCTCGGTCGCCCATCCGTCAATCCCCTCGCCTCGACTCCCAGGGGGTATGCCCAGGTCTACCGCCTCCATGCCGAGCGTGTCCTTCATCCATTGATGGGCAGCCATACCGCCAGCATTGGCTCGTCTTTCGGGAGAGACTTCGAGCATCGGAAGGAGGAACTCACTGATTCGCAAGCTCTCCTCCACGCTGAAGTGATACTTCTCCCGTAGCACGTCAGGGAGTGACCAGTGGCGCAAGCGGTGAATGTTGCGCAACTCTCCCTTGCGGTTGAAGATTTCCTGGGACCACTTCCCCGATAGGCAGAGAGACTTGGGGAACGGGCCCAGCAGCTCGATAATTTGTGCGATGTGGTCGTCATCTTTGCCGTACTTGGTGCCTGATTGCGGGTCGAACAAGTAGTCGCCTGTGATTAATTCGAAGACCTGTTCCACGGTCAGAGGACAAACGCAGTAGCCGGGATGTACCTGCAACTCACCATGCATGCCATACTCCAAATATCCGTACTAGCTCCCCACTTGGATCCTAGAATGACCTCAGGCGAACGGTATTGTCGCGTCTGGATGTCATTCGTGAAATGATGCCCAACCCAGCATGCATTGCCCAGATCGGCAATCTTCACGGAAATGATATCAAAATCCAGCTCATCACTCGGGGTGGAAGACTTGTCTAGCGAGATGCCCGATACCTCTCGTTCCAAGAGATCACTAACACCAATGAGTACATAATCTTTGACCTTCATTCCATCGGGAGTAGACATACGCAGTCTTTTCTCTTTGTTTCTGTTTCTCATCTTCATCCTTGATGCCTAATAACTCTTTCATGGACGCAGCCCCCGAATTAGCCTCTGTCACTTGCGATTAGCGATTTCTGAGGCCCAGAAATCTTTTCTTGAACATACCTGACGACTCGTTCATCATCTGGCTGAGACTGCTGTGGGAATTTTGTGAACTGTGTTTAAACTCGAAACTCGTGTTGAGGGGACTGGGCAGCGGTTGGCTTCCAGTGATCAGGGTGCGGCGCCGCCGCCGGCCGTTGCGGTTGTCCTCCTTCTGCTCCTTCTTGGCCTCCTCCTTGACATACGTTTTCACGATCTGCTCCACGTCGCCGATCTCGATCAGCACGTTCTCCGGCTTCAGATCGGTGTGAATGATTCCACATTCCCGGTGCAAATAGTCCAGACCCAGCAGCACTTGCTTCGTAATCTGTTTGACGAGCGGCATGGGAATGCCGCGATGATTCCATCGCTTGATCAATCCAAGCAAGTTTTCTCCCAGCACTTCAAATACCATGCAGACGTGGACACCATTGGGGCCCTTGTGCTCGAAAGAGTCGAGCAGACTGACCACATGTTTGCGACCAGGGTGGGATGGCTTCGCTTGGACGATGCGATTCAGCAGCTTGATCTCGTCGATGGCGGTTTCGGTATAATGAGCGGCGGAGCGAACGACCTTCAGGGCGACGTGCTTGCCGGTCGTCGTATCGCGGGACAGCCAGACTGTCGAAAAGTGACCCCACCCGAGCTTGCGCACGACCACGTATCGACCATTGTTGTAGGTTTCTCCGACGCTGACCGGATGGTAACCGCCCTTGCAGTAATCTTCCGAGTCTTCCTCCTCAGCGGTGGTCTCCAGTTCTTCGCCGGAGGATGAGGAGGATGAGCGCGATGGCGGGGCGCCGTATGCGGGATTCCTGCCAGACATGGCGGTTAGAGGATTTTAGGAGAAGAAAAAGCGGGCTGGGAAAGTGGGCGGAGCAGAAAAACAAGAAATTAGGCAATCAGATGGGATGGACCCGAACTCATGGACACGATGGAGAATATGGGGAGGGGGGGAAAGACGGGCGAAAGACCATACCCCTCAGTAGTGGTAGTCGCTTGGTCGACAGGCGCACCGGGTTCGTTGGTGACGATCGGCTTTAAGTCGGTCCCTTTTCTTCTCTTCTTACCGCCATTGCCATTAGCAGCGGCCGCAGCGACACTAGCCATCTGCTTTCCCTTATTGATAACGGCTTTGGTGATTTCAACCCCGTCCATGGTGATGTTACAAAAGAATGAGTAACGACGGGGTGGATATCGGGGGGGTTGAAAATGACGGAGGCGAAAGTTTTTGGGGAGGGGAGGAGGAAGAGGAGGGAGGGGGGGGGGGGCAAAGAGAAAAGATAGATAGGCCGGAGGTTTGGGGGGGAGGTGGATGGCGGGCGTTCGACTTGGTAGCGCGAAGTCCAGTCAGTCAGTCAGTCCATTCAGTACCTGTAGTTGGTGGGTGTGGCCGGCAGCGGCAGGCGGGCGGAGAGGATACAGTAAGGTAGTAGTAGGTACTCCGTAAGGTAGATAAGAAAGAGGTAATTCAGGAACTTACTGGGTAGAGAGAGTGTTGGGTTCTGCGAATCTGAGGGGTCGTCCTTTGGTTTGGGTTCGGGTTCAGCAGCGCCCGCAATGGGTTGTAGAAAAATATGAACTGTAAGAAATCGATGGTTCAACAAGGCGCACTTGCACTTCACAGTCTATGAAGCAGATTAGTCGCAAGGAATTTCTTCAACTAGGCGATGAGATAGTGCAGCATGCAATGCATGAACCTGGAAATCAAAGCCTAATATTTCTCCAGGCGAAGAGTACTTGGAGAAAGACGAGGGATGATGCACCGGAGTTATGACGCAAACGATATAGACGGATCGATGCAACAACCACCAACCACCATCCGATGTGAGCCTTGTTTCCACAACTCTAGACCTTCTCGGGGAAAAACGCGCTTCAAGCAAGGGAGAAACGAAACTGAAGAAGCGAACAATAGACAGAAAAAACGGAGTGTCGATGGCAGAGATCAACCAGGAATGTCCGCAAGCGTAGGTGCGGGAGGGAGTAGTTGAGTTGTAAGGACGAGAGAAAGGGCGAGAGAGCACGCACACGAAGCAACACAGTGTTAAAGACTCACAACCACTATTTGCATTGAGGTGGCAAATCAACAGATCTTCTCAGTTGGGCCTGAATGGGCAAGAAATCAGTCCATTGTGAAAAAGAGATCATATCATGTTCAGATCCCAGGAGAGAAGCAAACCTGCTTGCTTATACAGTATATGAAATTCTAGAACATGCGCTGTTGGCGTGGCAGTTGTCGTATCTATAGATGGCGTTGCGGGAGAAGAGGGGCACAGACATTACTTACTATGTACTGTGGAACTTAGTCTGTTTATACCCATAAGCTGGATCCAGGAGGAGTCAAACAGAGTACGATAATCGACTTAATTAATAAGTATGTGGTGAGATATTGATTGGTCTTGTTCGTGTTGCATGCAGAGAAAAGCTTCTAGCTTTGAATCCGGGGTTCTACAGTACGAATCTACCACAAAATGTCCATCCATACAACCATCCTTCCCCGCTAGGACTTGTTCCATACAGTATACAGGCCTACTACATGCTACCAGGCTGTTACACAAGATATAATCTAACACCTCCCCAGCCATATCGGAGGATCCCGCCCGTTGGCACCCGATCAATCTAGGCTTGATGTCACTCAATGCTGGCGGAGTCTATGATTCAACTAACGGATCGGCCCATGCGGGTACATGTCTGAGATATGATTGTGCTCTGGATCACTCATTCAGCCCCAGACTGTCTAGCATTGCATGTGTGCTGTCTCAGCCAGGTGCATGAAACGGTACTCGACAAGGACAAGGAAGGCCGCTAGGATTTATGCATCGTATTATAGAAAGTACGGAGTACCTGGAAACCTGAATCCTGAGGCATCACAGGTTGCACTGGGGAAAATCAAGGCAGAGCCAATCATGGCGGGCACGAGGCCAACACCAACCAATTCCCCCACCTCCGCAAAGACTCGGCCTGAGCCTGAGGTTACGTAGGCCGAGGAACTGGAACCCCAGGCATCGACTCAGTCGGGTCATTGAAGCCTCAGGCCGGCCAAGCACATGGAAACCGCCCAAGCTTCCAACGACTCCATCCGATTACACAATTACTTGCAGAACTGGCTGAGACAACAACAACCATGGACTAGTCAACTTACTCATGTACTCACCTTGAATGCACCCCATCTTGACTCACTCTACCCACCTACACTCCCTCATCTACCTCCAACCATGTCCTCCCCCTTCCACCCCCGCCCATTTACCGACTACATCATCTTCTCTCCTCTAGCCGCCTTCATCTACCCCGTGCACCACCTCCTCAATCGACTGCGCGGACCGCCACGACTACCGCCTCCGAACGCTCGTCCGATCCGCGTCGTCTGCATCTCCGACACCCACACACTGGAATGGGCCGACATCCCCGATGGCGACCTCCTCATCCACGCCGGGGACCTGAGCAACGACGGCTCGGTGCGCGAGATCCAACAAGCCGTGAACTGGCTGCGCCGTCTGCCGCATGCCCATAAAGTCGTCATCTGCGGCAACCACGACAGTTACTTCGACGTGCGGTCGCGCCGCGCGGAAGACCGCGACGACG